CCCCAAAACCCCAAAACCCCAAAACCCCAAAACCCCTTTTTCCTTTACTTCTACTGAAATTAGATTTTAGCATTATAAAATGGTTTCATGTATTTCTCGAAGTCTGGGAACATGTCTTTTCGATTCAAATCGCTATTCACAGCGCTTTCCAATTGATTTTCTAAGATGTCCCCATAAGAATTTCCAATGCAGGAATTCAAGATGTTATCGTTATGTCCAAAGCTTTCGATTAAGGGCAGCATGACAGGTCTAATTAGCTTGAACTGCATTTTCATATACTCTAAAAGCATCTTCTGATGACCTCCACTAAAGTATCCACACTCAAACAGAGGCGCAGAATCGAGGTAGATTTGATGTGCTGCAAAAACTTTACACAAGTTACAAAGATGCTTCTTAGTGCTCTCCTGCAACCAAGAAGACTTGATTCCGTCTCTGAAAATTTGGAATGTGACTAGCATTGTATGAGCTTTGCTCATCTCGACTAGCTCTTGTTGATACATTTCATTCCATTTTGTTTGCATTGGTTCATCTCCTTGCATCATTTTCATGCAAGTATCTCCTACCATGAAGCATGTCTTAACTACTAGCATTTCCTCAAGAGTCTCAAGGCTGTCGAAATCTTCAGGTTTCTCAGCTTTGCACTTGTATTCAGTTACCTCATAAACTTTGTTGAGGTAGCTAACCCAGCCTGTGAGGGTTTCTCCCTTCATCATTTTTCCCAGGCTCTTCACCAAAAACCTTGCTCCTTGCTGAGCCATGACTGTGTTATCGCCCTCGTAAGTTACTTGAGCAGCATAGTCCTGCACTAGGCCAGGTAGGCCAGAGAACATAGAGTAGCCTGCGCCTCCACAGGATTGTCTACAAGTCTCAAGGCCTTCTAAAGTCATCCATGTATAGAAGGCTTTCATTCCAGAAGAGATCGTATGGAGATCATTAATTCCAGTGAGGTCTCCAGCCTTAATCCTCTTCTTCAAATCTGAGAAGTCTTTGGATACCTTCTGGTACACGAAGAGGAAGGCATAGCACTGACTCAGAATTGGAATCAGTTTAAACTGATGAGTTTGGTAATCAATAATTGCCCTCTCTTCGTCAGAGCCTGCTTTATCTTTAAATTGGGTCCTTACAATTCCGTACCTAATTGCAATGGTTAAGCCTTTTGAAAGATTTTTGAAAGCCATCCTAACAATAAGGATACGGATGGTCTGCATTGCTGTGTATAATATTTTTAGATTTCCTTTCTTAGTGAAGACTCCCTCCTCACTAACTTCTGAGTATCTGCTCAGCATCTGTGTTCTTGGGATTCTGACGTGGTTCAAAGCCATGTACCCATTATCTTTCATATTAAAGCCATATTTTGGCCCAATATCGCCAGCAATTACTCCAGGAAGTAGGCAATGGTTCCTCTTATCTCTTATTTCAACTAAAAAGCTCTGTACGCCGTGGTCAGTGCCATCAATGATAAGTTTTGCAAATACAATTGCGTGCGTGGCAAATTTCCCCAACTCTCCTGGCCAAAATTTGTACGCAGACAAGGAGGGAGTATGTATCACAAATTCATCTGTACTTCTATCAAAAGTAGCTGTTGTCTCAAGTCCAGCAATATTAGATCCATGGCCCATCTCAGTTTGTGCATAACATCCATGCATTTTCAACTTCTTTGCATCACTCAGCCATAGTGCCTTTTGTTCATCTGAAGCTAAGTACTTGATTCAAGTCACAAACATGTAGTAATGAAGATCAACAGGAACTTGGCCCATAGACTCCTCACAAGCAACCATCATTCGTTTATAAGTAAGACCTTGGAAGCCAATATCCTTCTGTTTCTTATGGAAATGGTAGATTTTCCTCATCGCATCTCTAACCTTCTCTTCACGGTCCCAAGAATGCCATTCAGAGGGGGTTCTAAAGACATCGTGTATCTCAATTGCCTTATCAGCACTCTCCTTAGCCTTAAGCATATCTTCAGAGTCAAAGATAAACAGCTTCAGCTCATACGGGTCGAAGTCAGCTTGGGATCTCTCCCTCAGCAAAGAATGATGCACTCTTTTGTGCCTAATGCTACCTGTTTTCAAGATTTCTTCACCTGAACTCATATCAACGTAATATCTGTCAAAAATGATTTTATAAATGCATTTCTGTATTTCGTTAAGTACTGGGGTTTTGGGGTTTTGGGGTTTTGGGGTTTTGGGG